AAACAATAGTACTACTATATATATATATATATATATATATATATATATATATATTCTATCTTAGTCTTTCTCAACCTTAACTCTTAAGACTCTAGGTTTATCTCCAAACCTCCAACCTAATATTTATTCCAGTATTGTCTTTTCAATCCCCTAATAATTAAATAGAAATGTTTAAAGAGTTATTCCAGAGTGCAAGGTCATTACGACTAGACAATGCTTTGAATACTCTCCCTATATCCCTAGTTGAGTCTTGGCTCCATAATACATATTCTTAATCTCTCTAATATAAAATTAGAATACATCTATAGCTTCCAAACATCACCTACTGGTGGACTGTAGTAGGTGACATCATAACCTGAAAAATCGGGTTTGTGACCTCATGATATGGGGTTCGGCTTTGTTAGCTATATATGGAGCATTTTAACCCAACCCACCCACAAATATGAATTTTTTTGGTGCGAATGTAAATTTAATTATATTTCAATATAGATACTGAATATCGTATTAAAGAAGAAGTAGAGAAAGAAGAGAAGTACAAAAGATGAAGTTATGATGATGCATGCATTACAAGGAGAATTTTGAAAGGTAAAAGACATGTCACATTCTTATTTTTGAAAATTAGTGTTTTTAGTAATATGATAAAACAAGTGTGGTAGTCCACTAGTGTGGGCATACAATTGACTTGAACAATCCAAGTTAGAAAAAAAGGAAAAAAGAAAAACTCAAAAGTCTTTTGTGATTGCAAGAGGTCATGCATATTGGAGAAATGAATAATAAAAGTCAGGATTCTGTCTGGAAGATGTACATTGACCAATTCATATGTTGGCCTTGGCCCCCTTTGTGGACCTATTGCTTTTTTCTTTCCACAAGTCAAGCCACATATTTCTTCTCATTTTTACTTAGTTGCAACTTAGGTCATCATTTTATATTATTTGTCCTTTATATTATTAGTAATGTTTTCTAAATATCATTTGAGGTCATTTGATAGCTGATTATAAAGCAGAAAGTTATTCATGTATAGTATTAACAGTAATTTTATTTATGTAATAATACTAATATTAATGTCTCTTTTGTAATTTGTAAAAAGTCACATAATTAATTATATAAATTATGAGACTTCGAAGTTAAAAAAATTGTCAAAATTTTTGAAAGGATATATAAATTTTTTTTAATCAAAACGGTAAATTGTTCCTGACGGAGTGATTTTTTTCTAACAATTTCTTAAAAATATCGCTGCGAGTGCAGCATTGCATAAAAAAAATTGAAATTGAAATCGTTGCTATAGAGCAACAATTTTTTTTTCATTAAAAAAGTTAATAGAGGCTGGCATTTTGGTCCAACATTTGGTCTGCCCTTGCAATATTTGTTAAATTTTTTTTTGACAAATCGCTGCTATGGATGCGATTTAAGGAAAAAGAATTTTTTTTTGGATGAAATCGCTACCACAGCAGCAATTTTTATATTTTTCTAAAAAAAATTAACACGTCAATTTTGTCATAAGAAAATCGTTCCGTCAGGAGCAATATTATCCTTTTGATTTAAAAAAAATTAATGTACCCTTTTAAAATTTTTGATAATCTTTTTTGCCCTTTTGACTTCAAATTCTAAGTTATAAAGACATCTATGATCTAAGTATATTTATGTAGGAAAAAATATAAAATAAATAAGATAACATATGAAAAACTTATATGTAAAAAGCTACACTAGTATATAACTAATATATAAATAACTAAACGATGAATAACTAATAGTGATTACAACGATGTTATCCTTGAAACGGATTCATTGTCAATCATCCAGATGTTTCGAGGAAAAGTGAAGCCTAAATGGTACTTACAATTGATTATTACTCATCCATAAATCATTGTATTAGGGATGAATATCGAGTCCCAGATATTTTGACTAAGATTAGTGCAACGAAAAGATATGTATATTTTTTATCGTGGTAATATGATAAACATTGCTGCCATATAAAAAAATTAAGCAAGTTACTTTCTTTGGCAAAAGGAGCAATTACAACTAATACATACCAACATAGATAATACATAAAATATATAAACTCCCTCATAACTGATCTCAAAATTATTATTATCATAACTCTAAGTAGCTAAAGGAGTAATAATCAAACTTAGATTTTCAAAGTAAAAATAATTAACTAAACAAATTAAACCCCTAATAAATACTCTTCCCATCCCATTCTTACTTTAACTTTAATAAATTATCCCAAAATATATCATTCTAAAATAATTAGAATCGACTATAATTTTCAATTCGTGAAAAAAAAATAGAAGTAATTATATTAAAATAAAACGGAGGAAGTAGTTTCATAAGAAGCGTGCCAACTAGGATAAACAAGTAAAATGGAACGAGGTTATTTGTATTCTTTCATAGTTTCATTTCATTCATTCATTTTTACTTGTCACTTACTCCTAAAATAGATTTTCAATTTTATTTATCACCTTTAACGTATCAAGAAAAGTCCATTATATTTTTTTCATATTTTACCCTCAACATTAAATACTATTTTTTTTCAAATCATTTTTTAAAATTTAGGTACTAAGTGTTATTTTATAGGAATAGTTTGATATAATACTTATGTTAATAATTATTTTATGTGCCAAATCTAATTGTAATAAATAAAAATTAACAGAAAAGTATCTCTTTACTTGATGTTTTATGACCAAAAATAGCTCAAAAAAATTGGAAACAATATGGTCCGATTTGCGTATTGTTTTGACAAATGAAAAAATCTTATTTGACCTTTTAAAACTAATGTCTAGGCATAGCTAAAAATCAATAGGTTTTACCAACAAAAAAAAAAGTCCAATAGGTAATTTTTTATTTTTAATTAATTCATTATTCAATCAAACTTTCACGTTCATCTTGTGATAATAAAATTTTGTCATTATTAACGAAGTGTTTAATATACAGACGGAGTCAGCATATATCGAGGGTTTTTATTATTTATATATAATTAAATTTTTATTTTATTTATATATGCGTTTATTTTTTCAGATTTTAAATTTTTTATCAAAAATTCTAACTCTATCACTAGTAATAGTAACATTATGAATCGGCGACTAACATCGATTATAACTTGATGAATGTAAATGTTTGAACGGAATATTTTGACAAATTTACTATATTTGACATATATATTAAACCCTCTCAATATATTTTCCAC